ATATATATATATATATATATATATATATTTAGCGCTGATTAAATTACTTCAATAATTAACTTTTATTAGTTTTCTCATTTTTTGAATTATTTTTACGAATGATGGTTAACATTGATAAGCCTGCCACTTTGTTTTTCTTTCGTTTCATATTGTCAAATACTATTCGTATTACAGCTAATATAGTGTTGCCTAGCGGTGATGAGAAAACCGTACGATTTGATTGTGTGGTGGCTATAAAAAATAGTCTGCACTTTGGAGGTTTTTGTTGTGTTTAAAAACTAAGAATGCATAATTTATTTTGTTTTGTTTTTTCAGTCATGGCATGAAAAATGGCATCAATGGTCAAACATGCGTTTAGATCCTCTTATCCTCTGTGAACATAATGAAGTACAATACCGTGAAATGGCAGTAGAACTTGCTAGTAGCAGCTTAGCAGCTTTAAATTTAAGGATAGAGGAGGTAAGTTCAAGTTAAGGCTCTTGGGGAATAAACTGTGGGATGTAGCTATGCCTTAGCATTAATTTGTTGCGTTTTAAATGTACTTAGACTCGAGTCTAGGTAAAGAAGTGTAGTAGTTTAAGACTCCGGGATGTATATAAAATTAATAGTTTATTTCGATAGAAAAATAAACCTAATTTTCACAAATACGTGTGTCCCAAAACGGAGAAGTCTTGCAACAATTTACATCAACTTGCAAACCACGTGACAAAAACAATTTTAAGACAATTTTACCAGGGCATAAATTAAAACTTAAGTTGTCCGCCAGACCATTTGAAATGGTCAAATAATGTAAGTAGACATTATTTTTTAACCGAATTTTTAGGTATTTTTTAATATTTTAAAAGAGTACAAAATTTAAAAAACTAAAAGGAAATGTACAACTAACAGTTATATAACTGCATAATAATAACTGAAATAGTTAGATCTAACTGAAATTTAGTGAAAATGAAATTATGTAGGTGATGTTAAAATAGTTTTGTACATAATGTTGCCTTGTAATTATTAGTATGCAATTGTAAAATTAATTGGAGGAGGTCAAAACTATTTTCTTTGGCAAAACCATTATTTCTACAGTTGCAGATATCATCTAATTTTCAGGTTATATATATATATTATAAAATGTATAATATTGTAAGTATAACAGAATTTTAGTACTAGTATCATCAATAAAGGACAGTAGGATAGTAAACAGCAAGAAGTTAAAATGGCTAAGTCAATCAAGCCAGCATTATAGTCTGAGGTTAAAAATTGTTATGCATGATTTCCTTTTACTCTGTTTGGCATATGCAGAGCATCTTATAAATGTTTCAAAATAATTTTTGTCTCGAAGGTGTTTACAACATAAAAACTGTTACTTCATTTATTACAATATTACTTTTCCTTAAAGAAATTTAGTACATTGATATTTCCAATCACACAATCCACACTACAGGTACATAATTCTTAATGACATAAAAGTCCAGTAAATTAAAATTTGGGTTTTTGTTGATAAGAAATTACATTAAATTCTTGGAATAGAACTGTAACATATCATATTTAACATCTTCTGAAAGTATATTCAGAGAAAACATAATTTATGATATAATTTTGTACTCTATGTATCTTTTATTAATTATCAAACCACAAAGAAAAATACATCAAACTATAACAGAACTAACTACTAACTACATTTCACACTAACTACTTAAATATTATACTGTCTCAACTTATATAAATATTTGCAATTTATAAACATTTCAAATAGAATTCTTGCCAGAATTCAAGCTTCTAATAAAGCACCAACAGTTAAATTGTTCCAAAAAAATATGCATATCTGAAAAAAGGAATTATTTCACTATAAATAAGCCTTCTAGGTTTAAGATTTGATGCTAAATGTTTTTTTCAAGCATTGATGTAAAGAAACTTGAACACCAATTATCATTTCAAAATACTTCATTTTCCAAAGAAAATAACTTGTGAATAATTCTCTCTACCAAATCTAATGATGTCACATTAGTGTGCATTTTCACCATCTACCATAAACAGTTCTGTTAATTGAAATTTCAGTATTACTTGATATATATATATATATATATATATATAAT